AGCTCAGTTGGTAGAGTGCTTGCTTCACATGCACAAAGCCTTGGCTTCAATCTCCAGCACCACAGGTAACAACAACAACAACAACGAAAACAACAAAACACTTCTGTTTTGGATTCTTCTTCTCTTTTGTTTTTCTATTTTCAATTTCATTGATTTTGGTCCTGTATTTATTATTTTTCCCCTTTGGCTTGCTCTGAGTTTCTTTTGCTCTTATCTTTCTAGTTTTATTAAGGTGGAAGTATAGATAATTTATTTGTGCTCTTCGTTTTTGGAGGGTGGGGGTACTAGGGGTTGAACTCAGGGACAGTCGACCTCTGAGCCACATCCCCAGTCCTATTTAGTAGTTTACTTAGAGACAGGGTGTCACTGATTTGCTTAGCGCCTCACTAAGTTTCTGGTTTGGAACTCATGATCCTCCTGCCTCAGCCTCCCAAGCTGCTGGAATTATAGACCTGCACCAGTGCACCCAGCTCTCTTCCTTCATTTCTAATGTAAAAACACAAGGCTACTCATTTCCTTCCAAGCACTGCTTTAACTGTATCACATATTTTGATATATTGTATTTCTGCTTTTGTTCAGTGAAAAATATTTTCTAATTTCCCATGAGACTTCCTGTTTGACCTATGAATTATTTAGAAGTATGTTGCTGAATTTCTAAGAGAGATTTTCCTGCAATTTTTTCAATAATGAATTTTGTCTAATTCTTTTATGTTCAGAGAACATACTTTAAATGATTTTGATTCTTTTTAACTTTGTTAAAGTTTGTTTTATGTACCAGTTTATTATCTATCTTGGTGAATGTCCCATGAGTACTTAAAAAGAATATATTCTTAATTTTTAGGTGAGCATCAATAAACATCAATTGGACCTCGTTGTTAATAGTGCTGTTCAATTCTTATCTTGCTTTTTTCTATTAGTTCTACCAATGACGGAGGACAGGAGTATTTGTGTCTTTAGCCTATGATTGTGGGTCTGCTTATTCCTCCTCTCAGTTTTGCTTCATATGTTATGAGGCCTTCCAACAGGCACAGACACATTTACAATTATTGTTGTAAATGGATTATTGAAATGTACAATTGTTATATCTTCTTGAGTAAGTGAACTTTTTAATTATTGTGTAATGATATCCCTGGTAGTTTTTCCCCTGAAGTCTGTTTTTCTTATATTAATAGTAACTATAGTATACTAATAGTATCTATACTCTCTAATAGCGATATCTACTTTCCTTTGATTAGGTTTACATGGCATATATATATATATATTTTTTTTTCCAGATTTACTTTTGGTCTACTTATGTCATTGTGTTTAAAATGAATTTCTTGTATCCTGCAACTAATAGTCACTTTTATCTATTTTTATAACTTTGTCTTCATTGATGTGTTTAGATCACTTCATTTAATGAGCTTATTAACATGTTTGGATTTATGTCTGCCATTTTATTTTTTGTTTACCATTTGTTCCCTTTATTTTTCATGCCTGTTTTCCCTTTTCTTGCTTTCTTTTGAAATATTTGAACTTTTTTTAGAATTCCATTTTAATTTATCTGTTACATTTTTAAAAATATAAATAAAATTTCTAAGAACTGCTCAAGGGATCTCAAAATGCATCCCTAACATCTCATACTCTACCTAGAATTGGTATTTTACCACTTCATGTGGAATGCAGAAACCTTTCACTTTCTTTATACAGTATATATCTTATTATTATATCTAAATACAAAAACCCATTAAACAATGATACAATTGTTGCTTTCAACAATCTCAACTGTCAAACATATTTTAAAGAATTTAAGGGGAGTGTATATTAGTGTATTTAATAGTATATTAAATTCACTCAGATATTTACCATTTTTTAATGTCTTTCCTTTTTGGTATTCCATGTTTTGTTTTTGACATAACGTCTCAGTTTTTCTTTATCTGAGAAAGTCTTTATTTCACTTTGGTTCCTGAAGGATATCTTTGCCCGGTATGGAATTCTGGTTGACGTCCCCTTTCTTTTGGCAATACATACAGTTGTTCTATTTTCTCCGGCCCTCTGCAGGTTTCTAATGAGAAATCTGCAACTACTCAAAGCATTACTCTCATATAATTAATGCATCATTTTTCTCTGATTGCTTTCTCAAGACTATGTTCTTGGATTTTAATGTTTAGTAGTACCTGAAACTATGACATTGTTCTCATTTGGTTCATCTTCTTTGGGGTTCCTTATAAAGTTGGAAACTGGAGCCTTATTTGCTCAGCTCTGCTTTGCTGCCTGCTTCCCACAGTAATTGTCTGCATCTGGGACCAGAAAAAGATGCAAACTAGCAGGGGCTCACCCTCCCTCAGGACCACAGCTACTCTGATTGGAGAAGTTTCTTCTCCCTCAGAGTTTTAGGTACCCTGTGTGTTCCTGCTGCCAAAGGATTACCTGGGGACTGGGGTAAGAGAAACTGAAGAAAAGATTTTAAAAGAAAAATGTATTTCCCCCACTCTGAGAATCAGAAGTCTCCTGTCTCGTCCTCAAGTCAGAACCAGGGGGATCATTTGTGAGCTTTCTCTCTGTGGATTCCCGATTTTGGTGTATCTTGAGACCAGCCTGGGAGAGATCAGAGGAAACAAAAATGGTAAATTCACCACTAGCTCAGTAGCTCATCAAATTCTGCCTTTCCCCAATGTGCCTGCTAGTATTTTTTTTTCTTTAGAATCCTCAAGTAGCTGCCTCTTTTATTTTGTTCCGGTTTTATTGCTGTGTTCAGTGGGAGGAGTGCGCTTACCCAGACCTGAAATGAAAATTGCTTTTGAAACTAAAAGAAATGTAACTATTTCCCAATAAATACAAAACCAAACAAAATTCCTGACTTTTTTGGAATAATTTTATCTTGTTTTATACTTAAAATCCTCACTCATTGCAATTAATATTATAACTAAACACTGATTCTCTTCTCAATCACCTGATTTCCGATGCTCAGGAGAATTCTTTACTAGCTGACACCATTCCAGATGGAAATAATGGGGGTAGAGAAGCTCTCTTGTTTTGGAGATGTTCCTAGTGGAGATTTCTGGGAAATGTAGTCTTCTAACTACCAAGCAAAATAAAACATGGGGGAAAGACAAAAAATATGTATATATTTGTATAATGAGCTCAGAAATTTTCTCCTGCTAACCATATAGTGATTACATGGCTTCTTTTGGTTTTGTTTCAAGTGTAAAGAAGTCATATATGATTTAGGTGGATGTTCCGACAGATAAAAAATTCCTCTGTTAACTGGTTAATACAGCATTACGCTTTGTAGACAGCAGGCCTCAATATTTCACATGGCTTTTTCAACTACAATTTCTATTCCTGCTACAATTTCTCTGCCATATTTTCCCACAATGACTAGTATAATAATGACCACCTGATAGGAAGATTCAGTGTAATTGAATAGAAGGGAAAATATAGCTACCATCAAAAATGTATAGGCATTTATTGCAAGACAAGAAAAGACACATACACACACAAACAAATAAACAAACAAAAACTGCACTTATTATAGAGTGCTATAGAAAAATATTCGGCTTTGAAAAGTAACAGAAAATTTTAAAATAATGATTTCTTCATGTACATTATAAATATTAGCTATTTCTCACCAGGCCAATAATGCAGAGTCATGAAGTAAGTCCTTGCACTTAGTTTATACATTTTTCTCTTGGAAAAGTCAGCTTGGGGAGGAGAAGACAGGGTACCAAGTTTAGCCTTAGCAACAGTAGACAGATACTTAAAGACTTAAAGAGACTTCAGACATAAAGACCCCCAGCATGACATCTGAGCATTCTTATAGACAACTAGGGCCTGGAATAATGTGTGCTTGCTGGACTGTTCATTCAGTCAGTTCTTATTGAGCACTTACTATGTGTTAGGTGCTGTTCTAGGCAATGGCGATAGTGTATATTCTAGTGAAACAACTAGTAAGTCAGCTAGCTGGTGATCAAATACAGGGCAAAAGAGTGGGGGAGGAGACGGTTTGTATTTTATATAGGGTGATTAAGGAAGGCCCACCAAAGGACAGAGACATTTGAGCAGAGACTTGGAGGAAGTGAAGGAGCAAACCACTCCAGGCAAAGAATGGCAAATATAAAAGCCTGGAGGCCTAGCAAGGGAGACAAGACAGTTCATGCCATGAGATAAAGTCGGACGGGTCAGACAGGGCAGATGGCAGAGGTGACAGAGAAAAGTGCCTGTGAGCAGAGGACGGCTGATCAGATAGGGCTTGTTCAGAAAGAGGGAGCCCCTCCCCACCCACCCACCCCACTTCCCACCCGTGGAGCAGATGAGGAATCAGGCCCAGAGAGTGAGTATCTAAAGTTGCATGGCTCAAGTGGAACGGCTAGACATGGAAAGTGGAAATGCAGTTTCCTGGACTTTTTTTTTTTTTTCTTAATCCCTTTGTTGGGGAAAACTGAAGAGAAAGACCCCAAATGAACATTTTAGGTTGCGAATGCTTTCCTTTAATCAACAATTCTCTGTTTTAGTCTTTCAAAGGAAAACATGTCTGTCCTAAAAAATCAGTTTCTGCTTATTATTTTCTTCGTAGTCCAAGGGTTGTCCACATTAAATCCTCAGACTGGGTCTGGGGAGGGAAAAACATTCCTAAAGGCCTTCAGCTCAGATTACTATACTGCGCGCGAGGGAGCGAGATGGGTGTCCTCATCCCAGGTTACAGATGAGAAAGCTGAGGCCCCAGTGGCGAAGGGACTTGCCCAGGGTCAACACGCTTTCAGCCCCGCCCCGCAGCCCGCCCCGGACAGGCTGGCGCGTGGGTGGGAGGGGAGCCCCCGTGGGTGGGAGGGGAGCCCCCCCTCCCGGCGCGCCGCGTCCCTCGGGGCCCTGGGGAACCGGAGATCAACTATCTCTTTAAGAAGGAAAGTGAAGACGGGCCGCTTACGCAGCTGCCGGCGAGCCGCCGACTGGCTGGTCCCCTGCATCCACCTCACCCTCCTCCCCTCCCTCCTCCCTCCCGGCAGCCCCAGCCCGGCCAGCACCCGGCCAGCCGCCTCCAGCTGGGGCTCGGGAGAGCGAGTCGGCGGCCCGGGCTGGGCAGCCAAAGCCATGGAAGCCTCGGCAGGTGATGACCAGGACCCTGGGGACCTCCGGGCCCACCGCCCAGCTGCGCCCGCCGCACCCACGAGCGCCAAGTGCCAGGGGGTGGGGGCGGCGCGGAGCCGCGCACTGGGCCCGCGGCGGGCAGCCCGCGCCCCCAGCCCTCTGCCCGGGGCGGCCCAGCGGTCGGCGGGGGGCTCGGCTGCCCCGGCGTCCCCCGCCCGCGCTCAGCCGCCCCGTGTGTCTCTCTCCCCCGCCGCCGCAGGTCGCTGATCGGGGCCAGGCGGCTGCAGCGGCGACTGCAGAGGCGCTGCGCCAAGCCGGGCCGGAGCGGTGCGGGCGGCGGGACTGCGGAGGGCGAGTGGACTCAGGTAAGGAGGCCGCGGCCGGCGGGAGGGACCGCGCTCGGGCGCCCGGGCCGGGGGCCGCTGGCGACCGCTCGCTGCGACAGAATCCCTCCGAGGGCACCGCTAGAGGGATTAAGCGTGACTCATTCCTGCCCTCCCTTCAGTCCCCTGCATCTTCCTAAGCGCCCCCACCCAGCCTGAGATTGACTGATGACAGGATGCCGAGCGCAGCAGGGGGTGCCCCAGGTGGGCGACACCCGAGCGCTGCCAGGGAGCGCCCCCTCCCCGTCCTGTTTGTCTTCCTCTGGTATTTGGCAAACAGGCGGGGTTTCTTTTTTTTTTTTTTTTTTTTTCCTTCTTGGAGAAGGAGCCAGGGTACTGGGGGTGGGAGCAGGACGGAACCCCACACCTACTCCAAGGTCAAGTGCCAATGACTGCTTCTTCCCCACCTTTCCCTCCGGGGAGCCTCCGCGCTCTGCAGTGTCTGGAAAAACTGCCCAGGACTCCTAGAGTGGGCCGCAGTCTCCCTTGAGCTTCCGCGGGGTGTCCGCACTCTCCTCCACTCCCGGGCAAGGAGGGGGCTGTGGGCGACACCTACCAGCCTGGGGAGCCCCAGATTCCCTGCCTCAGCCCTGCAGACTCAAGGAGAGGCCTGGTCACATGCTGCCTGTTCCCTGAGCCTTCTCTGCCCATCTGGTGGTGTGGGCTGGGCTGGGCTGGAGGAGCTTCCTAGGAAAGATGATCTGCGTGGAGTGGGGTGAGGAAAAGTGCTAGAGATCGGGGTTCTAGGCCCTGAACTTGCTAGTTGGCGACAAGTAGCCATCTTAAAATGCTCCGGGCGTGGGTGTCTTTCTGCTGTGTTCCATGCGGGAGTTGGATTCAATGGTCTGTTCCGTTTAGGGTACCCCTCAAGCTGCTCTTGTCAGGGGGACCTCCCTACCAAAGCTATTGGATTTCAGGTCTGTGGATTCATGGGGATTCCCTGGGTTAGTGCCTTTCAGCTCTGGACTTCTCCAGTGAAACGCTGACCTTGTGGGCCTCCCGGCACTGGAAGTGTCAGACAGGTCTACAGTGACATCCCTGTGCTGTTATGCCTCACCTCAAGTTTCAGCTTCCTCCTCTGTCACCTGGGAAGAGGGGTGCCTGCTGGAAGCTGCTGGGATGGTGCCCATGCCTGGCACATAGTGGGTGCTCAGATCTTCCGGGCTCAGGGGAGGTGGCCCCGGAGAGAGAAGAGGAGGGCTGCCTTGAATCTGCTGCCCCTCCCCTCCCGGGCCAGTCTTTTCCACATCCCTGAGGATGGTGTCCCTGCCAGGAGACGATGAATACTGGAAGGTGTGGGGCCGCCCGGCTGAGGGCCTTGGCAGCAACCAGGAGGTGCAGACATTTCCACTGCCAGGGCTGTGACATCACTCTAGCAATTGATGGCCCCGAGGAAACGTGTGTGGGCCAGCCCTGCGCTTGGAGCACCCTCACGTCCTCGGGCAGAGGTTCCCAGGGAGCAGAAGCATCTGATCTTGCATGTTGGTAAGGGGACGGGCACGAGACTGCCAGATTTCACAGGAACCCCCCTCCCTGGAGTCTCTCCCTGAGACCAGGTCTGGGGCACCTGTATTTTCTCTTCTTTATCTTCCCTCCATGGCGTCGTCTCCAGCCTCCATTTGGCCTTTTCCAGTTGATTGCACAGATGCCTTCTGCCTTGGACACCATGGTAAAGAGGTTCCCCACTGGGGCGGGCAGGGCATTCTGCCACTGCACCATTTAGGCTAAAGGGAACCATGGTGTCCCCGCTCTGCCCTAAATCCCTGTTCTACCGTGAGCTCCTGCTGACAGAGGCTTTTCCTCTCTGTGTTTCAGGCTCTGTGCTGTTGAGCACAAAGTAGATGCTCAATAAGTGCTGGATTGAATATATTTGAGGAAATGTTTCCTACAGCAGCGGGGTTGACTAGATCCTGCACTGGGTAGGGGCGCTGTAGGGAGGAGGGCTTTCAAGTATAGGACACGGTCATCGTTATTATAACTAATACTCTCGGCTTTGCCATTGTCATTGGCTAACAGATACTTGACATGTCCTTCTAGGGCTCCTGACTAGGGCCAAAGGGGGGCGCATGTGCTGGGAGGGTGGTGATGTTGCCAAGGAGGGGTCCCGATGGCTTTGGCCAGTGTGAGACGTGACTGTGGAGGGAAGGGGCTGGGAAGAGTGAGCCCAGCCATCGCTGTGTGGAGGGAGGGAGCAGAGCAGGAGTCAAGACGGGCAGCAGGAGGTCAGGAGATCAGGCCCCGGGTCCCACTCATCCACCCCCTCGTCACGTGGCCTTGGCTCAGCCAGGCCCCCCTCAAGGTCTCTGCATCCCCATCTCTATACTGAGGGGACGGGGCTGGACGGCTGAGGCTCCTTTAGGACTGACATTGTTTCAAGTGGATAACTATTCATTCCTCCTGGTATTACGTGTAGAAGATACCAGACCCACACCCACCTCACGTAGGCTTCAGAACAACCTAGGCCTATTGGAAAGATGAGGAAACCGAGGTTTAGACCAAGTGACGTGCCCATGCGGCACAGCTGGAGATGGTGGCCTTGTTAACCTGCCACGAGGCCTGACTCGCTTTCCTTTATGAACCCCGCTGTGGCTAAGTGAGGGTGCCCTTGCACACTCCTACAGGGGTCGGGACAGGAGGGTGGGAAGGCTTCGTGATGAGAGGTCGCAGGCTTGCTGCCGAGGGCCGGCCGGTCAGATCGAAGGGTGTGTGAGTCATGGTTGGGGAGTTCAGCACGAGCTCTGCTTTCTGACGGGGCGGGGTGCCCCTTGACCAGGGAAGGTGCCTGGGTCTGAATGGCAGTCAGGACAGACACACTTTTGAGTGCTCCCTGTTTGCTGTGCTCTGTCTTCTGCCGGCCGATGATCTGCTCCTCAGACCCTCCCAACACACAAGCACTTTATAAGAATCCTAGAGGCCAGAGAGCCAGGGTAAAGGGGCTCAGGGCTCCCCAGGGCTGACCGCTGATGTGTCATAGAACTTGGAAGCCGCTGGCCTGGGCCTCAAAGGCCTGCTTTTAGTCTGAGGCCTCCCATTGTCCCAGTAACCGTGTAAGCCAGGCTCCTCTGGGAGTCAGCGTTCCCACCCCTCCACCAACTGGGTGCCTCTCCTGGCCCTAAGAGGCCCAAGTGTGCCTTTACCCCACCCTGGGGGCTGGGGTGGACTCCTGCTGCTGGGTGCTGGTTAGTATCTGCTGTTGTCTGTTAGTGGGGTCCTGGGCGAAAAGCACAGGGTACAGGAAAGAATCAGAGGTGATCCCTGGTTTCCAGAAGTTCTCATGGAACAGGGAGAGCTGGATACCCAACAGTCAGTGTGAAAAATGCCTAGGAGCTGTGAGGCGTGCTGACGCGGGGTCTCAGGGGAGCAGAGAAGCCTGGGTGCTCTGTCCCACCTACCCCATGGGCCTGGTCGGTTTTGGTGAGGTGGCACATTGAGGTTGGGAATAAAAACAATGATAATAAAGGGTTCAACCAGCTCAGGACATCTCCAAAATATTCTAGAGAACTGTTAGAGCTCTCTCGCTCTCTCGCTCGCTCTCTCTCTCTCTCTCTCTCTCTCTCTCCCTTTTTTTATTTTTTTGGTACCAGGGATTGAACTCAGAGACTCAGCCTCTGAGCCACATCCCCAGCCCTGTTTGTATTTTGTTTAGAGACAGGGTCTCACTGAGTCTCTTAGTACCTCGCTCTTGCTGAGGGTGGCTTGGAACTTGCCATCCTCCTGCCTCAGCTGCCTCAGTGGCTGGGATTACAGGTGTGCATTACTGCGCCAAGCTGACCTTTAGTTCTTGTCCCCAGCAACTCAGAAGGTGGCCAGAGAGTCTGAGGGCCATCCAGGCTCACTCTGTGGCACAGTTCCAGTTGGACCATTCATTTGGCCTCGGGTGGACCAGAACCTTCCCTGTCCTTGGAGGATTCTAGAAGCTGGACTCTTCAATTCCTCTTGGAAGGCCCGCTTACTGCCTTGCTTGGGGGATCCTTGACCCTGTCCACCCTCGTCTGTCCTGCCCGGAGGAACTCAGAGTGAAAGCAGTTACCCGCGATTGCTCAGCAGGACTGGGCTGTCCCTCTGGGCAGTGGGGCTGCAGTTCTGAGCCAACTGCAGATGCTCTTTCTGCATCTGGGCCACCAGGGGCCTGCAGGGCCACATCTCCACCTGATGGGCAGCCGGTGCTGACAGGCTGGGTGCAGGTGCCACACTGAGTGAGGCCCTTGAAGAGAGGGAAGCCTGTGTGCCCCCCGGTGCTCTGCATCCCCAGTGGGCAGGTATTTTTCGAGTGTTTGTCTCATGCCCAGCACTGTCCTCTGTCACTGAGGCGCCAAGCCGGCCAGAACGCAGTGTCGGGGAGGAAGTGGCCTGGTGCGGAGATCCAGCCCTGAGGAGCCAGGAGCTGTGGGCCCTCGTGCTGGCTCTGCCATCGACTCAGTGGTGACCTGAGACCAGGCCTGGTGCTCGTCCACACCTCTGGGAAGCAGAGCTGGTGACCCTTCCGACTCTGGCCATCTACAGCGCTTCTTCCTGTTCCATAACCACTTCAGGGGTGCAAGGGTGGGCGGGTGCAGGTAGCCGTGACTTGGGGAAGAATAAGATAAATGTAGCAAGAGGCCAGAGGAGGGCTCTGGGGCTGGGGGACGGGGCTGGGGAGGGGCTCTGAGGCAGGAGACACCTGGAGGCGGTTGCTGTGTGTTTTGTTTCATGTACTGAACCAGGAGGAGCAGGAGTCTGCTGTCACATGGGGACAGGAGGGGACGGGAGGGCTGGATGGTGAGCAGTGGCTCCTGGACTTGGATCTCAGAGAGGGCCTTGGGAACCAATCCTAGGTTGGCCAGCTCTTTATTATGCTGGGGAAGGACATTTCTAATGACACTGAGGGTTCACTTTATGGTCACATAGAAGCATTTAAACACCCCTCTCCCTGAGACAGGAAGGCGATGCTGTCAGGAAAAAGGCACCACTTCCAATCGGATGCCTTTTCCTTTTCCTTTTCT